GAATACGGATTATAACTAACTTGCTATTCACTTGGTTTTGGGGTCATAATAATTATGTAGGAGAGATGGCCAAGTGGTTCAAGGCGTAGAATTGGAAATGCTATGTAGGATTTTATTTACCGAGGGTTCGAATCCCTCTCTTTCCATACCTTCGCTTAGTTCACCAATTTTACTAACAACAAGGACTCAAATAGAAATGGATACCATTATTCCAACAGCTAGACCCTTCTTTGATCTAAAGATAAAGATTATCAATTCCTAATTGTTGTGACGCGTTAAATAGAATACTAAAAAATAATCATAATCAAAATACTGGAAAGAAAAGAGTAGACAAGGAATAAAAATAGATCCTTGGTCTATGATACAAAAATGGGGGAAATCCAGATCAAACTCGGATTTATCTTACTTAACTTACTTAACCTTGCGTTAATTTACTTCACCTAAAGGGAATAAAATTTTTCGAATCCTTGGTTTTAGTCTGAGGTTTAAGTATGACGAGAATAATATTCTACGACTAGAAATTCATTTATTTTCAAACCGATCTATTTACTATATTTTATTTGATTAACTAATCCTTTATATTGGAATGGGTGAAGGGTCAAATGATTTGGTAATTCCTCATGAGGGGATGAATCGAGAGAAATTTGAATCAGAGCTCTAGATTTTTGTTCATCCTTTGTCGTAATAATTTATCAGGATTTGCAGCAATAACTCAGTATATCTACTATATGACCATTAACTAAAATATGGTGATGGTTAACTAATTGACGGGCCGTGGGAATAGTTGAAGCCATACCCAATTGAAATAGGATGTTATCAAAACACATTTCAAGTAATTGTAGTAAAACTTGACATGTTGACCCCTTGACTTTTCTGGCGATACGAACGTATTTAAGTAATTGACGTTCTGTAAGACCGTAATGAAAATACAATTTTAGTTTTTCTTCTAGGCGAATATGATATTGAGATTTTTTCTCGGACCGCAATTTGTTTGTAAGATCACTTCCGATTCCTAGGCTTTTTATTAGTTAGTCCTGGTAAAGCCCCCAGGCGGCGTATTTTTTTTGAAACGAGGTCCTCGGTAACGCGACATAAAGACTCCTTATTCTTATTTCTTATTTAGTATTTCGAATTAATTCTTATTTCTATTTATTTTATTNCTATTTATTTAGTGAATTTTATTTTATAGAATAAACCTAAACTAAAACTAAACTAAACTAAATGAAGCAAAGTTTACTAAAATGGTGTACTTGTACTATTACTGTAAGTACTATAAAGAAAATACTATTAAAAAAGAATGGAATGATATAGATTTCTCCTGGCTAATCATATATGCCCAGCAGAGAGAGGCAGAGCAGATGAAGGAGAAGGAGAGAGAGGCAAAAAGGGTCAGGATAGGGAATCATGGGAACTTTCAGTAAAGATCCGGTGGTGGACATCGCCCTCAGTTCCACCAAAGTTATTCAACCCTAGCTCCCTCATCAGCTACCATTCCATCCATACATCGAGGAGATCAGAGAGGCTGAGCATCAGGCTCTAGGGGCCAGAGGATCATGTTAGGGGAGCACACTTTTCCAGCTTTAGTAAGTGTGGCAAGAAGAACCATGGCAAGTTCTTGGTTGGTACTACTGGTTGTTTTGGGTGTGGGAAGCCCAGACATATTCTTAAGGATTGTTCTTCAGCTAGATAAGGCGATAGTAGAGGTCATGCCCCAGCTGCCACTTCAGCAGTTCCTGCAGCTCGCCCGTCTCAGCAAGGTGCCTCTTTTAGTGTGGGTGGCAGCCAGCACCAGAATAGGTCCTATGCACTCTCATCTCGTTAGGAGCAGGAGTGCACACTAGATGTGGTCACTAGTATGTTACAAGTATTCTATCTTGATATGTATGCATTGTTTGATCTAGGGGCTACTTTATCTGTCATGACTTCTTATGTTGATGTTATTTCAGAGTCAGTCCCGAAATCCTGTTAGAACCCTTCTCATTCTCTACTCTTGTACGTGAGTCAGTTTTAGCTCGACGAGTATACAAAAATTGTCTTGTCATGACTCTTCATAAGGTCACCTCAGCCGCTTGGAGTTTACCCGAATGTCCAAGTATGCACCGGAGATGTTTTTTGATTCGAGGGCTCATATGAGAAAGTTCTTGAATGGAGTAATAGATTCATTAGTCAAAGAGTGTAGGACCGCCATGCTGATTAATGATATAGATTTCTCCCCGCTGATCATATATGCCCAACAGATAGAGGCAGAGCAGATAAAGGTGAAGGAGAGAGAGGCCAAGATGGATAGGATAGGGAGTCATGGGCACTTTTATTAGAGATCTGATGATTGAAATCACCCTTAGTTCAACTAGAGATCATCATCCCCAGCTCCCTCATCAGCCAGCGTTTCATCCAGGCCTTAAGGAGATTAGAGAGGCAGAGTGTCAGACTCTTGGGGGCAGAGGAGTATGTTAGGGGAGCACACTTTTCAAGCTTTTAGGAAGTGTGTCAAGAAGAACCCTGGCGAGTTCTTGGTTGGTACTGATGGTTGTTTTTGGTGTGGGAAGCCTGAACATATTTGTAGAGATTGTCCTTTAGCTTGGTAGGGCGATAACAGAGCTCGTGCCCTAGCTTCTACTTCAGTAGTTCTTGTAGCTCACCCGTCTCAGCAGGGTTCCTCTTCTAGTGCGGGTGGCGGCCAGCGGCAGAACAGGTTCTATGCACTCTCATCTCGTCAGGAGCAGGAGTGCTCACTAGATGTGGTCACTATTATGTTACGAGTATTCCATCTTGATGTGTATGCATTGTCGGATCCAGGGGATAATTTATTTTTAATGAATCCTTATGTTGTTGTTAGTTTCGGAGTCAGTCCTGAAATTATGTCATAACCTTTCTCAGTCTCTACTCTTGTCGATGAGTCAGGTTTAGCTCAATGGGTATACGGAATTTTCTCTATCATGATTCTTATGAATGTCACCTCATCCAACCAAGTGGAGTTAGATATGACCAATTTTGATGTTATATTTGGTATGGATTGTTACATGCATGTTATGCCTCAGTGAATTATAGAACCCAAGTGATAGAGTTCAAATTTCTAAGTGACCCAGTCCTAGAGTGGAAGGGAAGTTCAACTGTTCCTATAGGTTGCTTTGTTTCCTATCTCAAGGCCAAAAAGATGATCTTTAAGGGTTGTGTGTATCATCTAGTTTGGGTCAAGGATTCTATGTATGAGACCCTGACTCTTTACTCAGTTCCTATTGTATGTAAGTATCCAAAGGTGTTCCTAAATGATCTACCAGAAATCCCTCCTGAGAAGGAGATTGACTTTTGTATTGATCTTCTCCCTGATACGCAGCCTATATCCATTCCTCCTTATAGAATGGCTCCAGTGGAGCCAAAGGAGTTGAAAGAGAAGTTGAAGGATCTCCTAGATAAGGGTTTCATTAGGCCTAGAAAATCCCTATGGGGTGCACCAGTTCTCTTTCTCCGGAAGAAGGATGGTTCCCTTAGGATATGCTTTGATTATTGGCAATTGAACTAGGTCATGATCAAGAATAAGTATCCCCTCCCTAGGATTGATGATTTTTTCGACCAACTTCATGGTGGCAAGTGTTTTTCAAATATAAACCTCATATTTGGCTATTAGTAACTCATAGTTAGGGAGAATGACATTCTGAAGACTGCCTTCAAGACTCGGTATGGTCAGTATGAGTTCGTAGTTATGTCTTTTGTACTAATGAATGCTCCTTCAACATTTATGGATTTAATAAATAGGTTGTTCAAGTAGTATTTGGATATGTTTGTGATTGTGTTCGTAGATGATATTCTCATATACTCTCAAAGCAAGGAGGAACATGCCGCTCATTGGAGGATTGTGTTACAAACTCTCTAGGATCGCCAGCTGTTTGGTAAATTCAACAAGTGTGAGTTTTGGCTGAACTTAGTAGCATTTTTAGGCAATATAGTGTCTAGTGAGGGTGTGCAACTAGAGTCACAAAGGATAGAAGTAGTGAAGAACTATCCTAAACCTGTTAGTCCGATAGATATTAGGAGCTTCTTGGGTTTAACTGGATGCTATAGGAGGTTTGTAGAGGGATTTTCATCCATTGCAGCACCGTTCGCTTAGTGGACTTAGAAGAAGGACAAATTTCAGTAGTCGAATTCTTGTGAGAAGAGTTTTCAGGAGTTAAAAACTTGACTCACTTCAACCCCAGTACTGACCCTACCGGAGGGTGCAGATGACTTTGTTGTATATTGTGATGCCTTTAAGGTTGGTCTTGGTTTTGTGTTGATGTAGCATGATAAGGTCATTTCTTATGCCACTAGACATCTTAAGACTCACGAGAATAATTATCTGACGCATGACCTAGATTTGGCAGCTATGATGTTTGCTTTGAAGATTTGGAGGCACTATTTTTATAGGGTGCATGTGGATGTGTTCACGGACCACAAGAGCCTTCAGTACGTGTTTACTCAAAAGGACTTGAATAAGCAGTAAAAGAAATGGTTAGAGCATCTCAAGGACTATGACATGAGTGTACTTTATCATTTGGGCAAGGCCAATGTAGTGGCAGATGCTCTTAGTATACTGTCCATGGAGAGGGTGTCTCATGTTTAGAATTGAGAAAGTAGTTGCTAAAGGATGTCCATAGGCTGGCTCGTTTAGGGGTTCGCCTTATAGATTCGATGGAAGGTGGTGTTATCATTCAGAATGGGTAAGAATCTTCATTGGTGTTGGAAGTCAAAGCTAGGAAAGACGAGGATTCTATCCTAGTTAAGCTGAATAAAGCTATTCGGAATTAGAAAGTGGAGGTTTTTTCCCAATGGGGAGGTGGTGTACTCTGGTATCAGGGCTTATTTTATTTGCTGACTATAAATAACTTGAGAGAGCGGATGTTGAGCGAGGCTCATAGCTCTCGGTACTCTATCTGTCTAGGTGCCTATCTTTTGGTGACCTACGGGACCTATGGGAAGTCTATTGGTGGAATAACTTGAAGAAGGATATAGTGGAGTTTTTGGCTAAGTGTCCGAATTACCAGCAGGTGAAGGTGGAGCATCAGAGACCTGGAGGTATGCTTCAAGACATTAGTAGTCCTACTTAGAAGTAGGAAGAGATCAATATGGACTCTATTACAGTCTTGCCTCGTACCCACCGACAGTATGACCC